ACTTCTCTGAGGACTGTCCGCTGTGCAGCCCGTTGGCGATGTTTGGTGGCTGAGGACACGTCACCTCTGGAGAGGGAGGAGAAAAGCTCATGAGAGCATCCAGGAGAGGTGATGTCTTCAAGACAGCTCAACCCAAACCACGAGCCTTTGAGTGCCCCATCTGTCCTCTGACTTTACTGAACAAAGCTTGAATTGGTTTGTACAAATCCACCCAGTCTCACCCCAAAGGCTGTGTTGCCCCCCATGCCCATGCCTGGTCCCCATCACCAGCCATCTCCCCATGGACACACTGCAGCCAGAGCACGGGGAGGAGGGCGCTGGCTCAGGACACCCCTCTGCACCGGGTCTCACATTAAGTGATGTTCCTGGACACACACTGCAGGGTCACCAGCACCTAGCCCCATCGTGACAGGTATGGCACGTGCACCCACAGTTACAGAAATACCTGGCTCCGGATTCACGGATGTGAGCTCATTCTTTACATATTATAAAGCCGTATACTTCATTAAAGGGAGATTTAACCCCTCACTGAAGGGCTCAGTGACAGCGCCCAGAGCCACACTGTGAGCATCCCCCAGGGGACAGACCATGGACGCACCTTCACAGCGAGGGCCAGGCTGGCTCCAGTTCCCAGAAGCTTTGCAAGACACAGCGGCATTTCCAACCAGGTAGTAGCCAGGATCGCAGGTGTACGTGACAGACATTCCCGTGGTGAAAAACACTTTGCCCTGGCCGTTGTGGTTTCCATGGCTGACTCCTGGAGGCATGGGGCACGGTCGGACTGCAGGAGGGAGACAAAGCCTGACTCAACAGAGCACAGCGTGTGAGGGGAAGGCAGCCGCCACGATGCTGCGGTGGTGGGCTGAAGCCCATGGCAGGACTGGGTCTGCCTGCACGTGGGGGTGCTGCCACCTGCAAGGAGCACTCACCCCTCACGCAGACAAGCTGTGGTGGATCCCAGGTGCCCCCTGGCCAGCACTGGGCCTCATGGGTGTCCTCTGCAGCGTAACCGGCATCGCAGCCAAACAGAAGAGTCTCTCCAGCTTTGTAGCTGCTCTGCAGCCCATGGACCTTCCCATTCTGCACCCTGGGTATCTCGCAGCCAATTGCTTCAAGGAGCAGGGATAATATCCTTTAAACTTCAATGCACAGGCCAGATCCTGCACACACAGCCTCCTTCATTCTCATTGCTGCTGTCACTCTGTCTGCTCTGTTCCTGCACCCAGCACATCACCATCCTTTCTGTCAGCTCCCCCTGGCAGTGAAGCACCCACCCACCTTGGCAGCGGGGCAGAGGCCTGCTCCACAGTCCGGTCTCCATGCAGTTGACAGAGACATTCCCCACCACCTCGTAGCCATCTGTGCAGCCATAATGCACAGTCGCTCCCAGGGGAAACTTCTCTGAGGACTGTCCGCTGTGCAGCCCATTGGCGATGTTTGGTGGCCGAGGACACGTCACATCTGGAGAGGGAAAAGAAATTCCCCCATGGTTCAGCTCTTTGCCATTTTGTGTGCTACCAGGGCTGTCTGGGTTATATCAGGGTAATATCCTGAATTCTGCTCAGTCTTTGTTCCATTTTCTGGACCAAAGTATTAGTTAAGAAAAGGTACAGTGGCACTAAGATTACAGTCACATTGCAGCTGGAGGAAGTTACTGATAAGGACAGAAAAACCCCCAGGCACATCATGGGGTTCA